CCAAGTAGCTGGGACCACAGGCGCCCACCACAACGCTATTTTTTGGTTGCAGCCATCATTGTTGTTTGGCGGGTCTGGGCTGGGGATTCAAACCCGCCACCTTAGGTGTACGTGGCTGGCACCTTAGCCGGTTGAGCTATAGGCGCCGAGCAGAGGAAGTTATTCTAAATACCCACTTCCTGGCTCAGCACCTGTAGCTCAGTGAGTAGGGCGGAGCTCAGTGAGTAGAGCGCTGGCCATATTAACTGAGGCTGGCCGGTTCGAGCCTGGCCTGGGCCTGCTGGACAGCAATGACAACTGCAACCCAAAAATAGTTGGCATTGTTGCGGGTGCATGTAGTCCCAGGTAATTGGGAGGCTGAGGGAAGAGAATCGATTAAGCCCAAGAGTTTGAGGTTGTTGTCAGTTGTGTCACCAGGGTACTCTACTGAGGGTGACATAGTGAGACTCTGTCTTAAAATAAATAAATAAAATAAAAAGTAAATACCCATTTCCTTACCTGCAAAACAAGGGTGATAGTACTTACAAATATGGTTGTTAAGATGTTAAAAATTATGTAAAAGAAAAAGTGATTAATATGTAATGAGTACTCAGTATGTGTTAAGCATTACCACTGTAACAGTAGAAAAAGAGTATTTGAGATTCTGATAGCACTTTTAAATTCTGTAAATCTCCTAAGCTAGCAATTTCCAAACTCTTGGGTCCTTGGTAACTTAAGTATCTCAGTAATTTTTTTTCATAGATTCTCTGGGCCAAAAACACTTAATGGTTTTATTGATATTTAAGTCTAAACACTTAGCATTCAAGTCCTAAAAATTTAGCTTTTTGAAAAATAAAAAATTGAATCAAAGAAAGATATTTTTATTTAAAAATTAAAATATTTTATTTCATGTCTAACCAACCACAATTACTGTGTACAGTGCACAGCTTCCTAAACCATGGAATCAGATGTTGCTCCTCTGATTTTCACATTGAGTTTTTTGCATAGTACCTTTTATCACAGCAACCAGTAACAACCTACCTTCTCAAAGATACGTCATTGGAAAGAATGTACTAAAATGATCTAATGATCTAATGAAGTTCTTCTACAGTTGCTTCCTCTAAACTTAAAATGTCCCCTGCTAACCTATGTTTCACTATAGTGCCCCAGGGCATTTCAGCACACTCTGAGGAACACAAAACTTTTCTTTTTTTCCTTCTCTTTCCTTTTCTTTTCCAAACACCAACTTGAACCAGACCTTAATCTTGAAAGACTAATAATTTTCATTGCAGTTTATTAGCCAGTAAGTTGAAAAGTAACATTTGTGATTGCGCCTTTTACACTTGATCTTAGCCAAAAGGCTGAGAAGTGATGATTGTGCTTTTGAAGATTGAGTACCCCTTATCCAAAAATACATGGGACAAGATTCATCAATTTTTTTTATTTTTGAAAGACAGGGACTGTCTTTGTCACCCTGGCTAGAATGAAGTGGTAGGATCATAGTTCACTGCAGCCTTGAATTCCTGGACTCAAAGGATCCTCTCACTTCAGCCTCCCTAGTGGCTGGGACTGCAGACATGTACAACTGTGCATGGTTCATTTTTTTTAAACAGATGGGGTCTCATTATGTTGCCAGGCTGGTCTTCTGTACTGAACTCCTGCACTGAAGTGCTCCTTCTGCTTCAGCTTCCAAGTTGCTTGGATTACAGGCATGAACCACTGTGCCCAACTCTATGTTTTTTAAATTCAGGGACATTTTTAAATTACACATGTACAGGTTAAGCATCCCTAATCCAAAAAAATCTGAAATTGCAAAATCTCCAGTGAGTATTTCTTTGAGCACCATATTAGCATACAAAAACTTTCAGATTTGGAGCATTGCAGATTTCACATTTTTAGATTGGAGATGCTCACCTTTGAATTAACTTGAAAGAAAAGATCAACTTTGATCAAGACCAGTGGTTTTTATTCTTTATAATGATGTGAGTAATAACAGAGAGAAGAAGATTTATGATAGAAAATATTTCTTGTGTATGTGACCGTTAGACCAAATAATGAAGTCATACTTAGGAAATTTCTATACCCAAGCATCAAAATGCCTTACAAAGGCCATTAAGCAAAACATTTATTTTTAATTGTAATACTTTTTATAAAATACATGTATCAATAACTGTAATAATGGCAGACTTTCTTTGATTTGTGATAGAATTTTCTCTTTTAAATGAGTGCTTTTCTTCCAGGCAGTAGCAGGCTTGTTGGCAGATGCTCGTTCTTTAGCAGACATAGCAAGAGAAGAAGCTTCCAACTTTAGATCTAACTTTGGCTATAACATTCCACTCAAAGTAAGTTGATAACATCTTGAGGAACCTTTTGAACTGTCATGGAAGTTTATTAATACGCTCTTCTGTCCCCCACAGCATCTTGCAGACAGAGTGGCCATGTATGTCCATGCATACACACTCTACAGTGCTGTGAGACCTTTTGGCTGCAGGTATGAAATTTGTGAGCTATTTAAAAGTCAGGTCTGTACTGTATATGTATTTATTTTCCCCAGCATCTTAGCCTTTTGTACACTTTTAAAAATATGAACTCTTACTACAAAGTATTATGGCAATGATGAGATAAAATGGCACACATAGAATCATTTGAATAGTGAAAGGGACTACACAGATGTGAAGTGATCATAAAACAAAAAACTCATACTAAAACCTACAATCTGACTGTAAAACATTCTCTGTTATTTAGTCCCTGAGATCCTTAGGAAATTATTAGCTGATTTTAGTTATATATCATGTTGACGTCAAGCTGCCAATTAGACTTTAGTTTTATCATTAATTTCCATGTGATATACTTTAAGCAGTTGGGTTAAATGCTTTTAAATGAATTTTTTTCTTTTAACAGCAATTAATTAATACAAAACTATGTTTCACAATTCCCATTAGCTACATTTTCTGTTGTTAAAGTGACATGTTGGTATTTTGGGGGAGGAAAATGGGGATTCAGCTGTAAAAAGATCTGGAAGTTGTAAGTACTCGAACATGGCTTCACAGAGAACACTTGTCATGTCTAGATTTTCCTAAAATGAAAAGGCATGCTTGGTTTTTTTTTTTGCAGTTTTTGGCCGGGGCTGGGTTTGAACCCACCACCTCCATCATATGGGACCAGCTCCCTACCCTTTTGAGCTACAGGCACTGCCCCGACAAGCTTGATTTTTAAGTTTTAAAAAAGTCTTCTTTGGGGCGGCGCCTGTTGCCCAGTGGGTAGGGTGCTGGCTGTATATACTAAGGGTGGAGGTTCAAACCTAGCCCTGGCCAAATTGCAAAAAAAAAATAGCCAGGCATTGCCGCGGGCACCTGTAGTCCCAGTTACTCAGGAGGCTGAGTCAAGAGAATCGCTTGAGCCCAGGATTTGGAGGTCTCTGTGAACCGTGTGATGCCACAGCACTTACCAAGGGCCACAAAGTAAAACTCTGTCTCTATTAAAAAAAAAAAAAAGTCTGTGGCCAGGTGCAGTGGCTAAAAATGGTAATCCTCGCACTATGGGAGGCTGAGGTGAGAGGATGGCTTTAGCCTGGGAATTTGAGATTGCTGTGAGCTAGGCTGATGATATCGCACTCCTACCGCCTGGAGCAACAGAGTGAGATTCTGTCTCAGGAAAAAAAAGTCATCTTTGATCAAAGGAATACATTTGCTGCCATCTGAGTGCTTACCTATAGTCCTCTCTTTGAGTTGTTTATAATCAGCCATATTTAATTATTAAGAAACAGGTGTTAAAGAAAACCTGGGTTTTATTGTATTGGCAGTAGATAAGATCTGTGGATATTTGTTACATTAGTTATTCTTAAGGTTCTCATTTAAATTACATTGTGAAACACTCTACTTTCAGGCGGTGTAGCATACCTTTCCTTTTTAACCTTTCAACTGAGCTCTCAGTCCATCTGTTAACTTCTCTTTTTAAGGGAATCAGGAAACATTTATTAGGCATAGGAGTCAGTCATACACACAGGGATGTGACCTTGAGAAAAATCTTTAAGAGTGGGTATGATAAAGGTATGTAATGAGTATAGTGGGGCAATAATTAGGGAATGGCCTGTTTCTGAAGTAGCAGCAAAAAAAGGACATGAGACGTAGGGTAGTCTAGCAGAGGGACTGATATACTTGGGCATTTCAGGTATTGCGGACGTAGTTAAGTATACTTGGAATGTAGAGTATAAGGTTTAGAGATGGTATTGAAGGTGTAAGAAGGGGCTCAGTCATCCAGAAGTCTGTGATTCCCATGCTAAGGAGTTTCAGCAAAGGAAATGTTGACGAGTTTTAAATTAAGGGCAAAGAGATCTATATTCTGAAAGATAAGTCTTATACCAGTGTTGAAGATGAATAGGAATGATGGCCTTAGTGTTGGCTATGACAATAGACTGTGTGTGAAAACATATGTTAAGAAGATTCTGGTTTCTTTCTTTGTTTTCGTTTTGAGATTTGATCTGTCAGAGTTCATTGAACTCTTGGGTTCAAGCAATCCTTATACCTCAGCCTCCCCAAAAATCCACAGGCACATGCTACCATGCCACCTTATATATATAAATATATATAAAACACACACACACACACACACATATATATATATATATATTTTAGACAGAGTGTCATTATATCACCCTCGGTAGAGTGCTAAGGCATTACAGCTCACAGCAACCTCAAACTCTTGGGCTTAAGCCATTCTCTTGCCGCAGCCTCCCAAGTCACTGGGACTACAGGTGCCTGCCACAACACCTGGCTGTTTTTTTTAGAGACAAGATCTCTCTCTGGCTCAGGCTGGTCTTGAATAGATGAGCTCAGGCAATCCACCTGCCTCAGCCTCACAGAGTGCTGGGATTACACGCCGTGAGCTACAATGCCCAGCAGATACAGGCTAATATTTTTAAAATTTTTGTAAAGGTGGGGGTCTTACTGTATTGCCCAGGCTGGTCTTGAATTCCTGGCCTCAAGTGATCCTTCCACCTTACTTTCCCAAAGGGCTGGCATTACAGGCATGAGCCACGTGACCAGCCAATGGTGGTCTCTTTTCTACTCTAAAGCAAAGAAAATAATAGTCCCTTGGTTTCTGTCAGGGATTGGTTCCAGGACCTCCCAGGGGTACCAAAATCCAAGGTTGCTCAAGTCTTTGATATAAAATGGCATAGTGCTCGCTTCGGCAGCACATATACTAAAATTGGAACAATACGGAGAAGATTAGCATGGCCCCTGCGCCAGGATGACACACAAATTCGTGAAGCGTTGTATATTTTTTAGAGAATTTAAGAGATGAACCCAGCCACATATCATCATTTAATCTTTGATAAGCCTAACAAAAACATGCAATGGGGAAAGGAAAGAATCCTTATTTAACAAGTGGTGCTGGGAGAACTGGTTATCCACGTGCAGAAGACCGAAATGACCTGTACCTCTCAATGTTGACAAAAATAGATTCTCATTGGATAAATGATTTAAATTTAAGAACCAAAACGATAAAAATTCTAGAAGAGAGTGTGGGGAAAACACTTGAAGATCCTGGCCTGAGAAGGAACTTATAGAAAGACCCTTAGCAATTGCAGCAACATCAAAAATAAATAACTGGGACTTGATCATGCTAAAAAGCTTTTGCATAGCTAAGAGTACCACAAACAAAGCAAACAGACAGCCCTAAGAATGAGAGAAGATTTTTGCATGAAGACTTTTTATGAATCTGACAAAGGCTTGATAACTAGAATCTACAGAGAACTCAAAGTAAACAATAAGAAAGTGCAAAGAGACCTCTCTCTAGATGGGCAAGAGATTTGAACAGAAACTTCTTCAAGGATGACAGACGAATAGCCAACAAAGACAAAAAATGCTCATCTTCTTTAATCATCAGAGAAATGCAAATCAAAATCGCTCTAAGATACCACCTAACCGCAGTGAGATTACAGAGTCCCAAAACACCAGATGCAGGCATGGATGTGGAGAGAAGGGAACGCTTCTACACTGCTGGTGGGATTGCAAACTAATACAGCCTTTTTGGAGAAAGTATGGAGAATCCTCAAAGATCTAAAAGTAGACCTTCCATTTGACCTTCCTGCAATCCCATTACTAAGTATCTACCCAGAAGGACAAAAATCATTTTACCTAGCCAGGTGTTGCAGGAGGCATCTCTAGTCCCAGCAACTTGGGAGGCTGAGGCAAGAGAATCGCTTAAGCCCAAGAGTTTGAGGTTGCTATGAGCTGTGATGTCATAGCACTCTACCGACAGCAACATAGTGACCCATAAATGCATCAACAAACTGGTACGTGTATACCATGGAATATTATTCAGCCATTAATAAAGATGGAGACTTTACATCTTTTACATTTACCTGGATGGAGTTGAAATATATTCTTCTTAGTAAAGTATTGTAAGAATGGAAAAATAAATATCCAATGTACTCCTCCATACTAAAGTTATATCTAGATTACTTCGTAATACCTAATGCAGTATTAAGTGCTATATACAAAACTGTTACATTTTATTGTTTAGATAATAATGACAAGGAAAAAAGTCTGTACATGTTTAGTACAGGCATTTTTTTTCCTGATCTTTTCAATCTATAGTTGGTTAAATCGACAGATGTGGAATTCAACAGACATGGAGGGCTGACTATATATAGTAATTTCAGAAACTCAGAAATACCATCATTTAATAGCTGAATTTAAATTTGTTGAAAATAAAAAGAAAGTATTGAACAAGTTTTGATTATTGCAGAACAGTGACTGGAAGAATTCTGAGGAATAAAATGGAGGATGGAAAGAGTTTGACCTGGATTCATTGTACTCATAGTGAGGAATTTTGTTCCCTTAGCTTTTTTGTGTGTTTATACCGTTACTTTTTGAGCCCTTGCATTAATTATTTTCTGTCTATTGTTATTCCTTTCTCTGCACTGCTGAGGAAAGAGTTTCATCAGAAAGTTTACTACTAAACAAACAAAGCCACATGAATTAAGAACAGATATCTTAATATGTATTAGGTTTAATTAATGCAAAGTACTTTATCAAGGTATTTACTATGACTTCTATATGATTAGTAATTTTTCTTAGAAACTGTAATAGAATTTTCATCATTGATTTGTTTACTTCTGTGCAGTTTTATGTTAGGGTCTTACAGTGTGAATGATGGTGCACAACTCTACATGATCGACCCATCAGGTGTTTCATACGTGAGTCATTTTGATCACTTGACATTGTATTCTAATGATATTTCATTGGCATTTAAGTTTCATTTAGATGATGAGATAATATGAAATTCCATTAAAACTTATTCAGGGAAAGTAATGTTTTCTAGTTCATCATTAATAACCTATGGCAATGAGGCAGAGAAATGATTTCTATAGTAGTTTTCAGTATATTTATAGAAACCGTATAGTGAATATGATATTTTGAATATGATTTTTTTTTGGAGACAGAGTCTCACTTTGTGGCCCTGGGTAAAATACCATGGCATCACAGCTCACAGCAACCTTAAACTCTTGGACTCTTGGACTCTTGGACTCTTTTGTCTCATCCTCCTGAGTAGTTGGGACTACAGGTGCCTGCGACAGTGCCTGGCTATTTGTAGAGATGAGGTCTTGCTCTGGCTCAGGCTGGTCTAGAACTCGAGAGCTCAGGCACTCCACCTGCTTCAGCCTCCCAGAGTGCTAGAAATGATTTTCTTTCATTTTTAAAAGTGAATATCATGTTTTTAGAAGGGTGTTAAATAGGATTTCTGGGAGCTTTTCTAAACTGTCCCTTTCTTGTTTTCTTCTGAGATTTTACTAATCGAGAAAAATGAAGATTCAAGTATATTTTATAACATTAGTATTTATTTGCAATGTTTTAAAAAAGCTTAAATAAAACAGGAAGCTATAGAATATTGAAGTCAGTAATTACCTTATTTCTCTTAGAAATATATCATTTCTGGGTGGTGCCTGTGGCTCAAAGGAGTAGGGTGCCAGCCCCATATGTCAGAGGTGATGGGTTCAAACCCAGCCTCGGTCAAAAACTGAAATAAATAAATAAATAAAAATTAAAAAAAAAAAGAAAGAAATATATCATTTCCTTTTTTACTTGTCATAATGCTAAAATATTTTTATCCTGTCCCCTAAAATGTCTGTAGTTCAAAGTGTATATCATGACATAGTTTTTTTTTGGCTATATCTCTGTTGAAAAGAATCTAGATTTTTCTATAGTAAAATTAAATTTGATATTTTAATTGTTTTTTAAGTTCCTTGGTATTCATCAGAATGTGTTTAGACATTTTCCCATACTTTTAGAGTCTTAACATCCTTTAATTAACTTACATAAATAGAAACTGTAGTAGTCATTAATGATATGAATGATTATCTATTATGTCATTATGTTTTTATATAGGGTTATTGGGGCTGTGCTATTGGCAAAGCCAGGCAAGCTGCAAAGACAGAAATAGAAAAGCTTCAGGTAATAAATAATGCTTGGATTTTGCTATGTTGTCATCATGCAGTGAAGTTTCACCACTACAAACCAAGTAGTTTAGGATACTGTAGCTTGATGTTTAGAGCAGAACTTTCTGAAGCTGCTCAGGGGTTGAACACGAAAGCTAGTAACATAGTATCTGTAAAGTTGTATCATGGATCCCTTTGGATTTTTTTGTTTTTTATTTTTCTTTTGAGACAGAGTCTCAAGCTATCACCCTGGGTAGAGTGCCATGGCATTATAGCTCACAGCAAACTCCAATTCTTGGGCTCAAGTGATCCTCTTCCCTCAGTTTTTCTATTTTTAGTAGAGATGGGGTATTGCTTTTGCTCGGGCTGTTCTCAAACTCATGAGCTCAAGCCATCCACTGGCCTCGGCCTCCCAAAGTGGTAGAATTATAGGCGTCAGCCACGGGATCTGGTCAGTCTCACTTGTCATTCTCGGTAGAGTACCATTGCATCTCATAGCAACCTTAGACTCTTGGGCTGGAGTGATCCTCTGGCCGCAGCCTCCTAAGTAGCTGGGACTACAGGTGCCTGCCATACTACCTGGCTGTTTTTTAGAGATGGGGTCTCATTCTACCTCAGGCTGGTCTTGAACTCCTGAGCTCAACATTCCACCCACCTTGACCTCCCAAAGGACTGGGATTATAGGTGTGAGCCACCATGCCCGCTTCACATCATGGTTTTGATGACTGCTGTGAAGCTTTTTTTTTTTTTTTAGAGACAGAGTCTCACTTTGTTGCCCTTATTAGAGTGCCGTGAAGTCACAGCTCACGGCAACCTCTGGGCTTAGGTGATTCTCTTGCCTCAGCCTCCCGAGTAGCTGGGACTACAGGTGCCTCCCACGACACCCGGCTATTTTTTTGTTGCAGTTTGGCCGGGGCTGGGTTTGAACCCACCACCCTAGGTATATGGAGCCGGCGCCCGACTCACTGAGCCACAGCGCCGCCCTGCTATGAAGCTTTAATGTAGAAAAATACACCTTTTTATATAATTTCACAAATTCCTTCACACTCCTTGATGCATCCCTGTGAGCCCTAGCTTGAGAATTTTGATGTTTAAAATTTTGAATTAATATCACAGAAACTGCTATAATAAAAAGTTATGCGTAGTACCTTTTTCCTGTATCATAGCTTTCTTTGGAAAACAGCTTGAGTGTCTTGGTAAGTGCTGGCTGTTCTCCCTGGTGCTTCTTTACTTTGCTCCTAGCTAGATAAGGAATGCCACCATGCCCAGCCTGAAAAAGTTTTCTTTTTTTTTTTTTTTTTTTTTGAGACGGAGCCTCAAGCTATCCCCCTGGGTAGAGTGCCATGGCATCATGCTCACAGCAACCTCCAACTCCTGGGCTCAAGCGAGTCTCCTGCCTCCTCCTCCCAAGTAGCTGGGACCACAGGCGCCCGCCACAACGCCCGGCTATTTTTTGGTTGCAGCCGTCATTGTTGTTTGGCGGGTCCGGGCTGGGGATTCGAACCCGCCACCTTAGGTGTACGTGGCTGGCGCCTTAGCCGGTTGAGCCACAGGCGCCGAGCCCTGAAAAAGTTTTCTTAATCTGGTTTTCCTTTTAGCCATAAATTGATCTACTTAATATTCAAACAGTGTTGCCTCAGAGTCTTTATTGCTTAGCCAGTCAGAAACTTCTCTAAAAGCCATGCATGTGGGCCGTGCCTTTGGCTCAAAAGTGTAGGGCTCCATAGGCCAGAGGTGGTGGGTTCAAACCCAGCCCTGGCCAAAAACTGAAAAAAAAGCCATGCATGTGATTTTGTCAGTAGTTTTGGTGAACTATATAGCAAGATAAAATTTTATATATATTTACTAATAATTACTCATTTAACTTATAAACATTTTCTAAAGCCTGGACGTATATGAGTGTTTGACATTTATAGAAGCCGCATTGTAGATTAAAGCCTAATCATGGTTCTTGTTTAGTAAATTTCACATGAAGACCTTGTAGATCATATAGATCATTTAGCCTAAGCCCAACCAACCCTGGATTAAAAACCTATCTGGCAAGTACCCAGACTTAGATGGTATTCTCCTCCATCACACACTCCGCTGGTGTGGTGCCAGGTCCCCACCTTCTACTCTTTTCCTTTTCTGTTTTCATCTTTCTATGGTATTATGTGGAAATTTGAAAATTAGCATATTTAAGAGTAGTCAATTATCTTTTCTTTTTCTGTGGTTAAATCCTAGTAAGGAATGGGAAGAAGAATAAATCCCAGCTAAAAATTGAGAAAAATTACTTTTGATTTTAGGAAGACTTACACTTTATGACAAAACCATGTTACAAATAAGGTGTTGCAAACTACTGCCCGCTGGTGCTCACTTTTTGATGCTTTCCTAGAACACAGCTACATTGAGTCTGTTTTCATACTAGACCATGTGACCTGTAATAAAGTCTAAAATATGCATTTACTCCTTCATTCTTTATAGAAAGAATTTGCTGACTCTTGCTCTGTATCACTGTTCTCCTGTGTTTCTTTTGATAGACTGTTTACTAAAAAATAAAGACTTTGACCATTGTAAAAATGTATTGCAATTTAACCTGTGCTTTTTCATGCTTAACTTTGCCGTTAAAGGATGTAATAAATCCCCAGAACTTAACCAATAAGGGCAAAAATAGGTAGATCAGTATTCTTCCTCTTCCTTTCTTTTTTTTTTTGAGAGCCTCAAGCTGTCCCCCTGGGCAGAGTGCCGTGGCATCACGCTCACAGCAACCTCCAACTCCTGGGCTCAAGCGAGTCTCTTGCCTCAGCCTCCCAAGTAGCTGGGACCACAGGCGCCCGCCACAACGCCTGGCCATTTTTTGGTTGCAGCCATCATTGTTGTTTGGCGGGCCCGGGCTGGGGATTCGAACCCGCCACCTTAGGTGTATGTGGCTGGCGCCTTAGCAGCTTGAGCCACAGGAGCCGAGCCCTTTCTCTTCCTTTCATGTCCAATTTAACATGAAATTATATAAACATCATAGGATTATAACAGACCTCTTTATTTAGACTTCGGTTGATTTTCCACATTTTGTCTGTATTTATTTCCTATGTCTTATTTGAAGCAGAGTTGCAGGCATGACATTACATCCCTGTGTGCTTCAGCATTGGTTTATGTACACTGTCACTGACCCTGAAATATCAGTCCAATAGCCCAGGAAATCAAAGTGACTCAGCAGTCCCAACACTCTGGTCTGTTTCTACCTGTTGAGGTTCATGTTGAATTTGTTCTGTAGATCACTTTTAATTTAGATGTTTTTACCCACAAAATTTATTTCTTAGACAGTCTCACTTTCTCACCTCAGTAGAATTCAAAAAGCAAGCAGTGGCATCTAAAAGCTATTATGCATCCCTTGTTCTGTGAGGGATAATTTATCCTACTTCATCTTTCTGTGCCTTGTATATAGTAGGTATTCATGGATTATTTACATTTCATTGTCCTGAATTAGCTATAAAAAAATCAGATTTCTTCTCCAGTCTTCAGGGTCTACCTCACAATAGATTCAAAAAGGGCTCTGGGCTTTTATAAATTTTATCACAAAGTTAATGGTAATTATGGGTTATCTATTAAGTTGTAAATCAGAAAACTTCAGTTCTGTTTTTTTTTCTTTTTTCAGTTATTTTCCTTGGTTTTATATCCAGATATATCTCAAGAAGATGGGTTATTGATAGCAGTTGAAAAAATAGTTACACAAGCAGAAGTGGTGTTCTTTTGACTCATACAATTAATGTACATTTTATTTTCTGTAGATGAAAGAAATGACCTGCCGGGATATTGTTAAAGAAGTTGCAAAAATGTAAGTTGGAATTTTCCTTTCCATCTCCATAATGTGACCTTTCAATATAAGTTATGTGAAATCCAAGAGGCTGTTTTGTTTGGTGATCACTTAAAGTTGTAGAAAGTGAATGTAACATTTTAAGAGACTTCATTAAGGAGGAGAATATACTTTTAACCAAGTTACATTTTCCTTTTTTTTTTGAGACAGAGCCTCAAGCTATCCCCCTGGGTAGAGTGCCATGGCATCATAGCTCACAGCAACCTCCAACTCCTGGGCTCAAGCGAGTCTCCTGCCTTAGCCTCCCAAGTAGCTGAGACTACAGGCGCCCGCCACAATGCCCGGCCATTTTTTTGTTGCAGCCATCATTGTTGTTTGGCAGGCCCAGGCTGGGGATTCGAACCCGCCACCTTAGGTGTATGTGGCTGGCACCTTAGCTGCTTGAGCCACAGGTGCCGAGCCACCAAGTTACATTTTCAAGTAATAACAGAATGGGGAAAAAACAGTTTTCACCAAAATAAACCCTTGTTAAATGACAGGTTAAGGGTAGGAGGGCAAACAGTGGACCTTTAGGGGCTTTGTTAGCTCCTGGCTTTCTCCTAAGTCCCAAATAATGTTAGATTGCCTCCAAGAAAGCTTACACTTTATTATTGGTTTATAGCTGATTGTCTGTACATAATCCATGAAACTGGCTCAACTGCTATTTCTTTGGTAAAGATAGTTTTGCTTTTTCAGATTTATCACAAAAATTTTTATAGCAAGGCCAGGTGTGGTGGCTCATGCCTGCAATCCTAACATTCCGGGGAGGCAAAGGCAGGAGCTCAGGAGTTCAAAACCAGTCTGTGGAAGAGCGAGACTACATCCCTACTGAAAATAGAAAAACTAGCCTGGTGTTGTGGCGGGTGCCTGTAGTCCCAGCTACTCCAGAGGCTGACTCAAGAGGCTCACCTGAGCCTAAGAGTCTGAGGTTGCTGTGAGCTATAATGCCACAGCACTCTACCCAGGATGACAGAGTGAAACTCTGTCTCAAAAAAAAAAATTGTAAGAAGTATTTCAAAACATTGTTAGAACAGGTACTAAAACATGGATGGTTTATATAAGGCTGCAGAATTAATTTTGCAAATTCATCCTAAAAAAGTGTGACATGCCTCGGTTAATAGGGTCACCATCAAGATAGCTCAAGCAGCCTCCCAAAGTGCGGTATTAAAGGCATGAGCCACTGTGCCCCTGGCCTGTCTATTACTTCAATATGTTGCACTAAAATGCTTCTTTGTTTGCTGCAGCTTCTCATGTCCTACAGTGTAAAGGCCAGGATAAATGGCATATTATAAAATAGTCAAAGAGTTAACAAAGATAGTATACTGCCAAGAAACTGTAGGCTGACCACTAATAGACAAGCACACAAATTAGATGGTTCTTAAGTAGCCCAGATACTTGGGAGACTAAGGCAGGAGCAACCCTAGAGACCAGGAGTTCAAGGCTGCAGTGTTCTGTACTCATCACTGCACTTCAGGTGCCTGACATTGAGAGTCTCCATCTCTTTTTAAAGAAAAATGGTTAATGAACAGAAAAAAAATCCTGACAAGGCATAGTAAACAATGGCCTTTTCTCATTGAATCCCTGTCTTTTAAACAGTATATCAAAATAAACTGAATTGACAGTGTTATACATTATATTTAATATTTGTAGATTTAATTTTATTATAATCTCTATGTAAATTACTATCTTTTTTAGTGTTCAGTATAGACTTATAAATTGTGTCTGTATAATTTTATATGTAAATATTTTCATTTTGGATTTGTGTTCTAATTTTTACTGTTTGTGGGTATACTACAGTACAATCTTTGAAGGTGACCATAAATGTTAACTTTCTCTTTTCTATTCTAGAATTTACATAGTACATGATGAAGTTAAGGATAAAGCTTTTGAACTAGAACTCAGCTGGGTTGGTGAATGTAAGTTATTTTTGCATATTCATTTTGATAACGAGTTATCTGTACTGTATCTAACTGTACCACTGGGTGCCCTTTCTGATATAAAGAAAGCCAAATCAGACTTGGCGCCTGTAGCTCAGCAGATAGGGTGCCAGCCATATACACTGGAGGTGGCAGGTTCAAACCCAGCCTGGGCCTGCCAAACAACAATGACAACTACAACCAAAAAATAGCTGGGCATTGTGGCAGGCACCTATAGTCCCAGCTACTCAGAAGGCTGAGGCAAAAGAATTGCTTAAGCCCAGGAGTTTGAGGTTGCTGTGAGATATTATGCCATGGCACTCTACCAAGTGCAACAAAGTGAAACTGTCTCAAAAAAAGAGATTACTGAAAAATCACCAATTTTCTTCTTTCCAGCATAGTAACCACAGGGTTTCAAGGCAGGTCATCTAAAAATTTATCTAATCCAGTCATGTTATAGCTTAATGTCCAGGATTTATAAATCATAGCATAATTTATTCTTCATTTCCATAAGAGCTTAATTTGGGCACACATGATCTCATGTTGAGGAAACATGGAAACAAGTTCAAAGCATCTTGTATTACTCATAGTACAGTTTTGTAATGTCATTCATTACCTATGGGTTGGGTAAATCACAATATAGCTCTCATCTTTAATTAATTTAAATGTATGGCTTAATTTACAGTAACTAAAGGAAGACATGAAATTGTTCCAAAAGATATAAGGGAAGAAGCAGAGAAATACGCTAAGGTAAGCCAAAGCGTAAAACATTCTCTAAATAGCGTGTTGAATAAAAAACAAATTTGGCTGGTTCTGTTAGTGAACAGCAGGGTGCAGTTGAACTTAAGAAGTTTTCTAGGTTCTCTTTAGTGAGGACAAAGTTGCCTTGTTTCCAAAAGAAAAAGTGTTTCATGAAAGTTGAAAGGGATTCTCAGGCTATTTAATGCTTCCATATGTATATAGTCTATCAAGGATATTATTGTTAGAGCAGGATTTACTTAATCCTCTTTTTCCTCAAGTATCTTCTAAAATAGTGGTTCTCAACCTTCCTAATGCTACAATGTATTTTCATTGTTAAAAAGGGTCGAGACCCACAGGTTGAGAACTGTTGCTCTAAAACACTGTTCACTTTTCATGTTAGAAGAAATTGTTTAAAGACAAGTACTTAGTGCAGGTTGATGTATCTTAACTTCCCCCACAGTTATTGGACATCACAATATTTAAAAAATTTACACACTGATTTTTTTCTTCACAGGAGTCTTTGAAGGAAGAAGATGAATCAGATGATGATAATATGTAACCTTTCCTCCATTATCTGTTCTATTTTAAATTTCTACTGCAGTCCCATGTAACTATTCAGCCCTGTGGATCATACATAGTTACTGCCAATTTTCATTAAATTTTTGTCTTGTTAACTATCAAAGCTGGGTTAATATCTGCCTGACAAAATTGGTTAGGGGTAATTGAGGCTACTTAAAAAATATAGACTTATGCCTACTTACAAATTCCTTAATTAAAGTACTATAAATTGAAGGTTTAGAATCAGATGAATTCAAACTCCTATTTCATCACTCATCTGAAATTTAAACATTTTATTTTCCTGAGTTCTTAAAAGAACCTACCAATTTAATAAGCAAAATAATTTATACTATCACCCACCTTTGTATTTAGTGAAAATGATTGGTGGTCATCAGCCACTGTTTATCTTTAGGTGGATACAGATGAAAAATGTTTCTATTTGCAATAGTTTTTTCAAAAATAGATCTTTTATAAATGTTAAGAATGTTTTTTACTTTTTTCCCTTTATTGTGGTGAGAAAGAGTGGATTCGCTGATCAATAAAGTCCCTTTTTTGTCACTTGAAAAATCTCTTGATTTGTGAAGTTCAAATAAAAATACCCAGAAAGTTTCCATGCTAAAAATAAACAGAAATACACATAAAAATGCTCTGTAAACAGAACTGTTACTAGGTGGAATAATCACTAATGTGGCCTGGAAGAACAGCTGTCAAACCTGAAAAGCATTTGTCACACCAAGAACAAACAACTTGAAGTCAGGCCAGGGATGCACACCCTCTACTGGACTCTTGCCAGTATCTCTTCATTCAGGTGTTACTATTTCCTAAGGAGATAATCTGGTTATAGAGTTTAGCTGCAGGGTATTGCTGGGCTTTGTGCATTTGTGTCATTTAAATAGCAAATCATTATACATGAATAGCTAACTACTGTGCAAACAACTGAAAGTTAGTGTTTTGTTACTATGGCTTCTTATGTAACATTACCTGCTACATCCTACAACTCATACATTTAACTCAGAGTGAGAAGGAGAAACATCTCCATCAACTAGTAAATTGACTATCCCTGAGATAATTGGGCATTCCTATACTTTGCCAAGGTTCCAGAGTACAAATAGTCCATCAGTTTTCTATTTTCATTATGTTTTGAGTATGTCTCTTCTTCAGTTAACATTAGTACGGTTATGAACTCTTTTTAAGAGAAGACATTGGTTCTAATGAAGCTAAATGAGAGCATCTCAGCTGTTGTATGTACCACAGTATAATCTGAAACTGTGTAAACAGGTACACATGACTCTGTAGCTATTATCAAAGAAAAAGAAATGAATTTTCATACACACTAAACACAGAGTAAGTAACATTAGGTTAAGTTGTAGGGGTACTTTGTATCCACCACTGGCCCCTAGATAGAAGATGGAACTAGGCTCTTTGAGAAAAAAAGTTGGTATGCTCTACTTGCACATGAATACAAAGTTTATTTTCAGAAAAGACTGATTACCTTATCACCATAAATTATCTTGATACTGGTAACTAAAAAAATGTTTTAAGAATCAAGATTTGGTTTAGGAATTATTACACAAATAAGGCATTTAGACTGAAGAGCACTTATCTGATAAGAATTACCCATTTTCTTTTATTTCTACCATTCATAAAGAGACCTAAAAAATAAGAAAATCAAGTTGTGGCTTGGAGCCTGTGGCTCAAGTGGCTAAGGCGCCAGCCACATACACCTAAGGTGGCGGGATCTAATCCAGCCCGGCCGGCAAACAACAATGACAGCTGCAACCAAAAAATGGTCAGGCATTGTGGCCAGCGCCTGTGGTCCCAGCTACTTGGGAGGGGGAGGCAGGAGACTTGCTTGAGCCCAGGAGTTAGAGGTTGCTGTGAGCTGTGATGCCATGGCACTCTACCCAGGGGGACAGCTTGAGGCTCTGTCTCCAAAAAAAAAAAAAAACGAAAATCAAGTTGTAGGTCATGAATGTTCAACTGATTACTGCTTGTCCCGTGAGAAGAGTATCTTACTGAGTTAAATTAAGACTAGATAATGGGCAGCACCTGTGGCTCAGTGGGTAGAGCCGATTAGGTAGGGCATCGGCCCCATATACCAATGGTGGCCAGTTCGAACCTGGCCCCGGCCAAACTGCAACCAAAAAAAAAAAAAATAGCTGGGTGTTGTGGCGAGCTCCTGTAGTCCCACCTACTCAGGAGGCTGAGGCAAGAGAATTGCCTTAGCCCAGGAGCTGGAGCTTGCTCTGACGCCACCGCACTCTACTGAGGGTGACAGAGTGAGAATCTGTCTCTTTAGAAAAAAAAAAAAGACTAGATAATAAATTCATTTAAAAAAAAAACACATATCAAAATGCTGATGGCAACCCTAAGTGAAAAATGTCTTAATGTACAACACTAACTCCTAGTACTATTTCTCTAACTTTTTAATACCTTACACTTTTGAATACGGAACTCAGAGTTGATTTACTATATTTTCCTATACCCCTCCCTGTCCATATTGTATTCCCCATACCTAGACTCTTTCTCAACTGGAATTTCTAAGGACTCTCACTAACCTGCCAAAGAAAGCCCTCTGTCAAATTTCTCCCTCTTCAGAGCCCATTGCATGTCTCTTATTTAATAGTTGTCACACTTTTTTTTTTTTTATTAAAAAGGAACTACAAAACATGAAATGAGTAGGAGTGTGGCTACTTATAACCCCAACCAAGTAATGATGACTTTTGTTATACCACTGACCATGTGTATGCATCTATTGTTGCTTAACTATAATAAAATTACTGTATATTCTCCAGTCTAGTTGTTTAAAAACAAATCATGTCTTTGGATCATGACTGTTACACACATAAGCATTCAAATGCCAGAGGCACACATTTAGTAATTCATACTAATTAACTGAAGGATAAGGTGTACTACTTTTAAACACTAGTTTGGAATATATTGCTCAGAGGCTTCTAAACTAAGATAACCCTGATTTATCTTAACAGTTCTGGAAAAGTGAACCTTAGAAAATATAAAATGTGGGTGGTGCCTGTGGCTCAGTGAGTAGGGCGCTGGCCCCACATACAGAGGGTGGCGGGTTTGAACCTCGCCTGGCCAAACTACAACAACAACTAAAAAATAGCTGGGCCTTGTGGCAGGTGCCTATAGTCCTAGCTACTCGGGAGGCTGAGGCAAGAGAATGGCTCAAGACCAAGAGCTGGAGGTTGCTGTGAGCTGTGACGCCACAGCACTCTACCGAGGGTGACAAAGTAAGACTGTCTCTGTAAAAAAAAAAAAAATTATATATAAATAAAATGTGGGGGGGGGATATACAATGTTGTAAAAGTGGAGTTAAAGGGATTTTGCTTGTTAACTGAAGTTAGGGTTTCCTCTCTGTCCTAATACAGTCACAACAATTTAAAAAAGCTACTGGTAGCTAGCACGGAAATTAAAACCAGGACTTTGGTTTATAAGCTCTTGTAGGTTTCAGACTTTTTCATTTAATGGTGTGACCTTGGGCAAGTTAATTGAAGTGAAGTACCACTTCCATAAAATGGTAATAAGGTATAAATTTACAGAAGATTTTAAAGTTGAAAATGACAAAATGATAACAAAATAAAGTTACTAGAAATTGTGGTGTTACGATGTCACTTCTTCCCAAACAATTCAATGTAAACCTAATCAAACTCCCGAGAGCCTTTTTGGGGGAGGGGGGATAGAAAACAACAAACTGTTTATAAAATTCATACAAGGGAAGTAAAGGAATTAGAAGAGACAAATTTTGAAAAAGAACACGTGAGATGAGAAGACTGACACGACCTGATTTAAAGACTTACTTTATGAAGTTCATGTTGTCCACATTACTAACAGAACAATCTAAAAATACTCACAAAATATAGTGGTTGACAAAGGTGAGAGGCCAAATTAATGGAGAAAGGATAGTGTTTTTCAACAAGTGTTGCTGGAACTTACACATGCAAGAGAGAAAAAATCACCCAAAACAAAGTCCTCAAGCCACACCTTAGGTAAACCAAAAGTGATCACAGACCAAAGTCTACCTCAAACTAAGAAACTTCTATAATAAAACATGTAAGACCTGTGTGACTAATTTAAGAAAGACTTCTTAGATACTACACCAAATGCATGATCTATGAAAGGAAAAAATGGACAAACTTTCAACATTAAAAGCTGCTGATTAAAAACACTTAAGAGAATGACAAAACTGGGCATGGTAGTTCACACCTATAATCCCAAGCACTTTGGGGAGGCTGGGGTGGGAGGATCCCTGAACTCAGTATCTCTTTTGTGTGAGACTATCCTGTACAACATAGCAAGACCCTATCTCTACAAAAAAATATAAATTAGCCTGTGCGTTGGCTCACAACTATAGTCCCAGCTACTCAGGAGCCTGAAGCAGGAGATAGCTTCAACCCTAGGAGTTGGAGGCTATAATGCCATGACTGTGCCACTGTACCACTTCATCTAGCCAACAGAGTAAGACACTGTCTCTCAAAAAAAAAAAAAAAGAAAAAAAAAGACAAGAAAAATTCGGGGAAAAATATATGCAAATCACACCTGACAAAGAACTTGTGTTCATAACCTTTAAGTTGAACAATATGAAACCAGTTTTGTGTGTGTGTGTGTGTGTCACAGTCTCAAGCTATAGCCCTGGGTAGAGTGTTGTGGCATAGCTCACAACAGCCTCCAACTCAGGCTCAAACCATCCTCTTGTCTGTTTTTCTGTTTTTAGTAGAGATGGGGTCTCACTCTTGCTCAGGCTAGTCTCCAACTCCTGAACTCAAGCAATCCACCTGCATCAGTCTCCCAGAGCACAAGAATAACAGGCATGAGCCATGCCTGGGTGAAACCTAGTTTTAAAAATAGGCCAAGTATGGGTGGCTCTTGTGTCTCAGTGGGCAGGGTGTCAGCCCCATATACCAACGGTGGTGGGTTCAAACCCAGCTCTGGCCAAACTGCAACAAAAAAATAGCTGGGCGTTCTAGCAGGCACCTGCAGTCCCAGCTACTTGGGAGGCTGAGGCAAGAGAATTGCCTAAGCCCAGGAGTTTGAGGTTGCTGTGTAAGACTCTGTCTCTAAATATACATGGATAGTAAACATGTATGCAAAAAGATGCTCTG